CTTCAAACTATGAGAGCCCTGTTTACACCGGTCCAACGAATTACCCAAAAGTACACAAATGTACACAAATGTACCCAAAAGTATATTAGATAGGGGTAAAATCTTAACGAATATATGTTTTACATCAATAAAACCTGATTAATAATGTTTTCATTGAAATATAGTCAAAATAATGAAATAATAAACAGCGAAAAACGCTAAATTCCAAAGAGTCACCTATCCAAAATGGAGATATAATTACCGATGTTTTGTGTTACTTTGGGGTATTTAACATAGCCGTAGGATTTACTTTTCGTTAGGTTAGGTTAGGTTAGCGAAGTGCATCACGATGGATCAGAGTTATCTCCCTTGTTCACGAACTCTTTGGAATTTAGCGTTCGCCAATACTGAAAGTTTTTCGCTGTTTATTATTTCATCTTACAAATTATTTTTGCAAAATTACGCTAAAAATATTATTAGACATGTTTTATGTATGTATAACAGATATTAGTTAAGATTTTACCCTGATTTAATATACTTTTGGGTACATTTGGGTACTTTTGGGTAATTCGTTGGAACCCTGTTACACCCCGTACTTGCACCGTTAAGCAGTTCTCAGTTACACATCTTAATAGTAATAATTTTGGGATTTGAAAAGTGTTTATTTTCTTTTTATACATTGTATATTGATTAATATATTTATGTGGCTTTCTTAAAGAATTGACAGACATTATAAACACCTAAAGCAATCACTATATATTAATATATATATATATATATATATATATATATATATATATATATATATATATATATATATATATATATATATATATATATATATATATATATATATATATATATATATATATATATACATATATTTGTTAGTTCAGTTTTGTTATTCTACCTTCCGCGTAAAACATTCTCCTGTGATTGTCTGTCCAGAGCCACTGTCACTCTTCTAGACTAGCCAAGAGACTGTCTTCTCATAGCTTTCCTGACGGCGGTGCTGGGGGACCTGGGAACGAACGTGTGGCTGGGACTCAGGAATAACCAAAGCTTCCACTGGAAGGACAACACCTCTGTAACCTATACGAGCTGGGCCCCAGGGGAACCCAACGGCATTGATGGAGAGGTCTGTAAAGTTTCATGTCTGCGGCAGCCAAGTAAACTGTACACAAACTTACTTTCAACCATGGTCGAGAAAAAATTACATTTCTTTAGCCTGAATGGCACAGATATGCACGTAGATTCTGTTGCTATATTTATATCTTATCTGTCTGTATGTCCATCTGTGTCTCTCCGTGATGCATGTTGTATGTGTACTGTTACTTGCAGGAAGGATGTGTTGAGGCCTCGCATGTCACAGGGTTATGGAGTGACGTTCCCTGTACCTCCACACGTGGCTATGTCTGTATGGTAGATACTGGTAGGTTACTTCAGTTTTTAGTGTGGCAACATGACGTCTAATTATTTTTAGATCAAATGTTCAAATGTCAAAGTTAAAAACTTTGAAAAAGTACCTGCTACAGTGAGTTGGCTCCTTCGTATATAGAGTACGATAAAGATATTCTGCCAGTGAAAGTAGTTATTATGTTGACATTATTCTAACGATTTCTTTCTGCCACTACACGGGAAGCAAAACACCGATGACATTGCAAGAAATTATGGAAAGAAAATGCGTGTGGGAAAAGTGTCTATGGCGGTAAGATCTCTCACAGAGCAATCCTCCGGTGGGCTTCTGCCAATAAACAGAGAGACACTAAAACAACTGAAAGAAAAACATCCCCCTGCAAGTGAAGACGAAGGCATAAGGTTCCAGGGTGACTATATCCCACCAAACGCTATCCTGTTCTAGAAAAATAACAGGAGGGATGGTGTGGAAAAAGGCACTGAAGACTCGAGGAGGTGCCGGCCCTTCAACTCTGGATGCAAACGGTTGGAGAGTCATCCTCAGCACTAACAAGTTTGGCCCCGTAGCAAGTGATCTCTGCACTGCTATTGCTGTCCTTGCAAGAACGCTGGCATCCTCGTGCTGCCAACACCTCCATGCTCTGACGGCCTGCCGCTTCATTCCCCTGGATAAGAATCCAGGATGTAGGCCTGTGGGGGTGGGAAAGTGCTGAGACGGATAATCGGAAAATGCATAAGGTAGGTGGTAAAGGATGATGTCAGGGCAGCAGCAGGGAACCTGCAAGTTTGTGCTGGCCACCAGGCTGGAGGGGAAGCTGCCATTCACGCCATGAAAACGATATTTGAGCAGCGTGATTATGAGGCCGTTCTTCTGGTGGACGCGTCAAACGCATTCAACATACTTAACCACAAGGCCGCACTGCACAACATCAAGATCAAGTGTCCAAGCTTTGCAATATATGTTGAAAACTCCTATTGGAATCCATCGGACCTCTATATAGTAAGCAACAAGGCTCTAAGAGATGATACCATCATTCAGTCAACCGAGGGAATAAGGCAGGGAAATCCTGCAATAGGCCTATCCGTGCTCCAACACACAATAAAATTTGAAACAACTGAGGTCAAGTAAGTGGCGTACGCTGATGACCTTAAAGGAGCAGGAAAAGTGGATGACATCACAAAATGGTGGAACCTCGTAACATCACGTGAACCACAAATAGGGTACCACCTAAACGCCAGCAAGTCCTTCCTCATTGTTAAGCCAGAACATTATGAACGGGCAATGGAGGTGTTCGGTGGAAGTGAGGTCAAAATAGCAAAAGATGGCCAAAGACACCTAGGCGCAGAAATCGGCACGACGGACTTCAAGACCGAATATGTAACGGGAAAGGTGAATGAGTGGGTTAGGGAAATCCAAGCTCTGCCTGATATTGCTCACACAGAGCCACATGCGGCTTTTGCGGCATTCACCCATGGAGTCAAGCATCGCTGGAACTACCTGATGCGCACTATCCCTGATATTGGACCCCTCCTCCATCCTCTGGAAGAAGCTATGAGCGTTAATTTCATTCCCAAATTAGTGAAACACCCTCACTTAACCACAGGAAAAAAATCACTCCTTGCACTACAACCGAGACTGCGAAGAATTTGATTGACCAATCCAGAGGAGATTGATGCCACTGAACATCAAAACTCAGTTAAGCTCACGGCAGCCCTCACGTACCATATAATAGCTCAGAACGCAACATTTGAGGTGGACACCAGTGAAGTAAACAAGATTCGAAGGTCTATTACGAAAGAACGACAGCACGGCCAAAGTGATAAGTTGCAGCAACTGTTGCTGCAAATACCAGAAAATTTGAAAAAAAAAATAGCTATAGCGCAGGAAGTGGGCGCCTCGAACTGGTGAACTACGTTACCGATAAGGGCAAATGGTTTCAATCTCAATAAACAATAATTTACAGATGCCATTGCTCTAAGGTACGGTAGGCAAGTAGAAGGTTTGCCCTCCCAATGCGTGTGTGGCTCTTCCTATGACGTCGATCACGCCATGGTGTGCAAGAAATGGCTTCATATGCATGAGGCATGGCGAAGTAAGGGATGTCACAGCACATATGTTGAAGGAAATCTGCCGTGATGTCAAGGTAGAACCGACCCTCCTTCCATTGGATGGTGAGATTTTCCAACATAGGACTTCAAACACATCCAACGAAGCCCGTGTTGACGTCAGTGCTCGAGGATTCTGGACGCGGGGACAGCGAGCCTTCTTCGACATCAGGATTTTTTATCCCATGGCTGCATGTCACCGTAACTTAGCTCTCGATGATACACACAGGAGGAACGAGAACGGCAAGATTAGGGAATACCGGAAGAGAATTAAGAACGTTGATCAAGGCAGCTTCACTCCTCAATTGTTCACAACCTCTGTGGGATGGGACCAAGTGCAAGATGCTTCTATGCCAGACTCGCGGAGGTGATATCCGAACAGAAGCAGCAGCCCAGAAGTTATGTTACAGCCTGGATGAGATGTCGACTGTCCTTCTCTCTCTTTAGGTCGGCTTTGCTCTGCCTCAGGGGAACGAGAGCATCGGCCCCAAAGCCGACAACAGTTGCAGATATTGACTATGAGGCAACAGTCACTGAATGCCGCATAGATAGGTACTTATGTATTAGGATATTTAATTTTAAGGTAATAGTAGTAGTAGTAGTAGTAGAAGTAGGAGGAGGAGGAGGAGGAAGTGGAGCAGGAGGTAAAAGTTGCAGAAGTAATAATAACATTATTAGTTTTATCATTATTGCACTATCTTTAATGATATTGCACAAAAAATAATTCATCTTTTCTACCAGACTCTCACCTGATGACCGAGGCTCCTTACACTACCTGTGCCTCACCCTTCAGCCTCTACATTGCCTACAATGGTGCCTGTTACCATCCCCACTCCACATACAAGACCTGGAAGGTAGGAAATATATACACACTATATGTCTAGTCTGAAGAGACTGGACGACTTCAGTAAATTACTCCTTTGCTTAATGAGGCACTTAATTTTGTATTCACCTGTCGAGTCTTTTTTTGATAAAATATTTTACTATGATACAAGAATAGGATTTTACGTTACAGTATATACAATGCCTAAGTAAATAATGCAATTGTATAGTCACATAATGCGTTCACAAAACAATGTATATCACCACACAATACTCTTACACAATACTATCACACATTACTATCACGAAGTACTATCACACAATACTATTACACAATACTATCACACAATACTATCACACAATACTATCACGATGTACTATCACATAATACTATCACACACTACTATCACATAATACTATCACGAAGTACTAGCACATAATAATATCACACAATACAACCACACAATACTATCACGATGTACTATCACATAATACTATCACACACTACTATCACATAATACTATCACACACTACTATCACATAATAGTATCACACAATACTAACACACAATACTATCACATAATGCTATCACACAATACTCTCACACAATACTCTCATACAATACTATCACACAATACTATCACACAATACTATCAGACAATACTATCACACAATACTATCACACAATATTTATTACATAATATACTATTTACATAATATTTATTTCATATAATACTATTTATACACATTATTTACATAATACTATTACATAATACTTATTTTACATAATACTATTTACACATTATTTACACACATTTACATAATATTTATCACATTAATACTATTTAACATAATACTTACTACACACACTTATTACATAATACTATCTACTACCAATACTATTCACATTACCACTATCACACAATACTAATACACAATACTATCACACAATACCTCACACAATACTTCACACAATACTATCTACACAATACTATCACACAATACTAATACACAATACTATCAATAATAATAATTATCACACTACCATCATTAATATCACTATCTACATAATAATAATTATCACGTTAACACACCCACACAATACTATCACACAATATTCACTTCACACACAATATTTCCCCTCATTTACACGTCACTATCACACAAATACTCATTCCATTAACAATACTATCACACAATACTATCACACACACTATCACACAACACTATCTACACAATACTATTTCTCCACACAATACTATCACACAATACTCTCACACAATACTATCACACAATACTCTCACACAATACTATCACACAATACTATCACACAATACTATCACATAATACTATCACACAATACTATCACACAATACTCACACAATACTCACACAATACTATCACACAATACTATCACACAATACTCACACACTACTATCACACAATACTATCACACAATACTATCACACAATACTATCACACAGTACTATCACACAATACTATCACACAATACTCTCACACAATACTATCACACAATACTATCACATTAATACTATCACAATAATACTACATTAATACTATTTTCACACACAATGTTAATACATTGGTCATTTATCACATTAATAATACTTCTACACAATACTATCACACAATACTCTCACACAATACTATCACACAATACTATCACATATTCTTAACTCTCACATTCTCTTCATTCCTGATTTTGCCATCGACTAAACCTGTTATTACTGAGATAAACGCAAGTACAATAAGTCAGATGACAAGTAAATAAGATTGATTATTGATAATATCTAATTGTGTGTGTGTGTGTGTGTGGTAGGAGGCGGAGACCACGTGTAAAGATGAGGGTGCACACCTGGTGTCGGTGAGTGAGCCAACGGAGGGGGCATTTTTATGGATGCTGGCTAAGAATCACAATTTCACCCAAACATGGCTCGGTCTTCATTACAGCTACGTGAGTACAGTTCTCCTAGTCTCTCTGTATGGCTGGCAATTGTACATGTTTATTTCTGTTTTTTTCAGTTGTAAAACAATTTATTTTATCAGTGACTTGTCCAAAGGTAAAAAAAAAAGTAGTGCACATAAACGAGTACAGTATCATTCATTTGCAGAAAATTGATACATATTGCAAAAAACAGTTACATCAATGACTAACAATAGAAGCTAATATAAAATACCTTTATTAAATTTGGTGAATAATTTGATAATGCATTTAATTAACGATGCCTGTACTAGTTTTGTAATTTATATATATTAAATTAACTATACAAAATAACAACATAATTACATCAAATCACACTTCCTTTCTGTTTTGTTATAAGGACAACTCTCGGTTCTTATGGAGCGACTCTACCCCAACCACTTACACCAACTGGGGTATGAGTCAGCCGAACACCAGCCTAACCAACCATGCGTGCGTCTGGTTAAACTCCATGGGCGGACTTTGGTACAGCCAGTTGTGTGATGATCTGAGGCCATTCGTCTGTAAGTACAAGAATGGTAAGGTGTTTCCCAAGACTGATAAGATGTGGCTCAAGAATGGCATGATGTGGCCCAAGAAGGGTAAGGTGTGGGGCTTAAGAAGGGTAAGGTGTGGCTCAAGAATGGTATGATGTGTCCCAAGAAGGGTAAGGTGTTGCCCAAAACTGGTAAGCTGTAGCTCAAGAATCGTATGATGTGGCCCAAGAAGGGTAAGATGTGGCTCAAGAATGATAAGGTGTGGCTCAAGAGTGGTATAATGTGGCTCAGGAATAATAAGGTGTGGCTCAAGAATAGTATGATGTGGCTCAACAATGATAAGGTGTAGCTCAAGAGAGGAATTGGTAAGAGAGACAGTGTGAAAACAGAGAGAGAGAGAGAGAGAGGAATGAAAGTTTGAAGTACCAACAAAGAAGAATTATCCCCACACGTTACGTACCTCCATTACAACAAATACATTTTCTGCGCCTCTTGCAGTATCTGTGATCAGCCACGACCCCCCTGCCACTGGCCGCTGTCCGGATGCTCGCTGGCTGGACTTGGGGAACGGTTTTTGCTACCTTGTCTCCCAATACAAACAGCCATGGGACGAGGCCAGGAGGACGTAGGTGGCCTTACTCCTTGTAGTACTGTATAGGGTGCAGGTCTTCTGCATACGTCTTAGGGCAGGAATAGGAAAGGGAATGAATGGGCGAGAAGGAAGGGAAAAAACACATGACGTGAGGGAAGGCTAGAGAGTGGCAGGAGTTGAGATTGCAAGAAAAGGGGAAGGAGGATAATTGAAGGGAGGGAAGGAAATGTACTGAGAGGAGAAAAAGCATGGGAAAGAAGGAATTGAAGGAGTGTGATTATGTCCACAATAAAAGTTCTCCTCTTACTTATTAATTCATTCTTGTTCTTTTTATCAAAATTTCTTTGCTGTTCTTTTTGTTCTTCCCCTTTATTAATTCGTTATATCACACGAATCTCCCCTTAGTTTTTAATTAATTTTATTTGATCAGTCTTCATCATTTAATTGTATTTTTTTCTTTCGTAATATTTTCCTCTAGGTCGGTTTACTTGCGAATTGGTTTTATCTTATTTATTTATTTATTTTTAATTTTTCCTCATCCAAGAGTTCTCAATCCCTCTCATCTTGCGCAGTTGTGTGCTGGAGAATAGCAACTTGGCATCCATACATTCGGAGGCAGAGATGATCGCGGTCACTGTGGCAATACATGGCATTACTGACCCGTTGTGGATCGGCCTGGTAAAGGAGGAACACGGTGAGTGCTCTCTCATTATTTATTTTTTAATTGTAAGGGCTTTATGGTCGAAGAAGAGATTATTGAGTGAGAATGTCAAAGATATGGAGAGGGAGGTAATACTGTAGTTGGCGGGATGACTGCCTTGTTGCTGTACTTGGATGTATATATTGTACTTGGCAGGTGTCGTTGTTTTTTCATGGTTGGTTGTTTACACTGGCAGTTTTGGCACTTACCAACCTATGCCCTATATCATGTTTAGTGGTTTTGAGGCCACGTTTCGCATTCTGTTGTCCTTGCTGGTGGATTCTGGTGCAGGGAGTTTGTCTATTGCCTGGCCTCAAAAATTGGGGGATGGTGTTGGCCCACTTGTAGGCTACTTTGGTACCATTCTGGGAACCATCTATGATTGCTGTCATTTTCTATCGAGAGACACACACACACACACACGTTTGAAATAAGAGACGCACAGGTAATCTGAGAAACCAGAACATATTAAATATATCCTCGGTATAAACCCAACTAATTTTTTTAATTTACCTTTAAACTTTGACTTTCCTCTTGCAGGTTATGGCTGGAGTGATAGGTCGGGAGTGGACTATGTCAATTGGGGAGTCGATGAACCTGGTGGGGGAACCGATGAGGGGTGCGTCCTGGTTTATACACAGACAGGGAGCTGGAGCGACACGCACTGCTCCACCGCCGCACATTATCTCTGCAAGACACTCAAAAGTATGTGTAACGTGTATTGGCTACAAGACTGTAAGTTAAGCAGAGTTTATGCATTCTCTTATTAATGTTCTGAACCCGTTTATTATTATTATTACTATTATTATTATTATTATTATTAATATTATTAAACCGTTCAGAAGTATTACGGGAATGCATTTTATAAAAACGAATCACGAAGAGTTTCAGTCGACGATGCATGCTTTATGCTTACTAAAACGAAATGCTTGCTACCCCGCAAAATAAAAAGAACATCCCTCTATGCCTATCAATTAAAAAAAATATGTGTGTGTGTGTTTGTGTGCGTGTGTGTGTGTTTGCGTGTGTATGTGTGTGACGTTCCCTCTGATGAAACACAACAATGAAGTAATTAAGTAACAGCTCCGATGGTCATGACTGTAGTTATAAATTTTCAGTCCAAATGAAGGAAGTGACGAACCCACCAGTACCAGGGCCTTTCACACCACAGTCTCCCACCACACCACCAGGCCCAGGTGAGTCTCTCTCTCCTATAACTCCGTGAGTACTAGGTGAGTCGCTCCTGTCACTGGCTCCATTTTGTCCAAATGAACTTCCTCACCATATGTTCATCAGGCCCAGGTGAGTCTTTCTTAACGAAAATAAATGATCTGGAGTTTAGGAAATAACTATATAAAGGTAAAAGTAAAGGTCAAGTTCAGGGTTGTTAATGGTGTAGAGTAGATATTTAAAGATTATATTAAAATACATTAGATATTTAGGAAACTTTAGCCTAGACTGGTTGAAAGTTACCTAGTCGGCAAACAACAGAAGGACAATGGTCAGCTCAGAGCTCAAAGTGAAAAATACTGATATTTGAAAACAAATCTTAAAAAAAAAGAAGCAGTAATTATGGTGAAACTTGGCAGGTTAGCTGACGGGATTTGGGAAATGAAGTTTAAGGTTCAAGGTAGAGTTGACACTGTGTATAGAATCAGCCATGCTCTGGTGAGAATTTCTTTGGCTGTTCCAGTTTTATAAATGTTTCTGAACACTGACTTATGCCTCCCTAGACCCGAAAATTGGTGCTGGAGGGATCGTTGGCATCACCCTGTCTGTGGTATTCGTGGTGGCGTGTGTCGCTTTTGTGGTCAACAGCTATCGTAAAAGTGGACCTAGACGAAGGATTAAGTCACTCCCTTACAGCGTCGAGGACTTTCCTTTCTCAACTGGTAAGTTGTACTAGAAATAACGTAAATAAAACCTTACAGCAGTGGTCCCCAACCTGTGGTTCGTCGGCTCCATGGTGCCCTCGGTATCATATTATGGAGCCCGCAAGGGTTTGTTAGAAATATTAATAACTTGATGCAACTGTCGTGTACAGGGTGTGTGTACTGTATTTACCATAGACCAGCTCCAGAGAGAGCCAGCCTTCTCACTGGGGTAAATACACACGTCCAACATTTTGACGCCCTCCAATATATTTACAATGATATATATGGCCCAGAGCCTACAAGAGGTTGGGGACCACTGCCTTATAATATAGTTCTGATGGGGTAAATTAAACGTTACTGTAACTCGCCTGGGTATTAGGGTGTGTCATTCGGAGGCGAATTTTTTTTTTTGAGTTTGAAAAATCGGCCCATGGTATTAATGATGTAGTTCTATGTGCAGAATCATGTGATATCTTCAGATTTGAAAAGTTTTCATTTTTGCTAGGTAAATGTTAACTTGAAATCTTATGAAAATTCAATAATCCCACCCTTTTACCAACACCACTAAATAGCTTATTTAAAGTAAAGTAAATGTATCAGGTTAATTTATTAGGATGAAAATGATCCAGAATAGTGAAACGAATATCTTGACACACGATAAATTTAATATTCCTTAGAAAACAAAATCATCAAATACAAAACCGGTTTTACTACTGCGAATTCGGGTGTTGCTGCACACCATAGAGAACATGTCTTTTCTTGTTTAGTTTCTACTCATCACCTCCTGCTGACCACCTGAGCCTGGATGTGTAACCTTCCCCTCCTGGTTGCATTACCTGACTGCTGGCCTCAGCCACTTGCTGTACACAAACGCCTATACTTGGGCAGGCAAGTGAAAGCAGGCAGGACATGCATGGGGTTGTCCAGGAAAGCTCTGACTCTGGAAATACGGTGAGGCTGCAGGTAAGAGGCTCACTGCCAGCCTGATGTTATCCAGATCTATGAGATCAGTGAGGGTCTTGGCACCTAGATTGACTTCAGGAGTCTTCCTGACCCTGAAGGAATCGTCATCAACTGATTCGTCATGCCCAGATCCTCTCATAAGTCTCATATCCAAGATCTTTTTGACTGCCACTCTTCTCTCCTCCTCATCCTTACTGCAGAGCATTGTCTGCAGAACTGCCTCAGGATGAGCATACCAGGAAGATCTCACAGTCTGCTCCACAATCTGAACAACTCCTTCCCAGCTGACTCCTCAGGAGCTCAAGCTGGAAGAGAACATGCCTCGGACCTTCGGAGAACGATGACTTGACCTTGGTGTTGAACCAATTTGGCAAGTAGACACTCATGATGAATTGGACAATAAGTCTCAGGTTGTGAAGCTGGTTCCCTTTCAGCTTATGATGAGCGACCCAAATTCTGCAGAACCTGAGAGCCGTTGTGAGCCACCTAGAATGTGAGACTGGACCTATCTGCAGGTAAGCAAGTCTATCAGGCATGACCCCAGTTTTGATGGCACTGCAAATCATGTAACCATAGTACTGGTCAGTACCCAGGTCGTCAATGACAGTATGTGCAAGCTCAACGAGTGGAGGGCCAACTGTGATTTTTTCAAAGCTCGGATTTATTTCTAACTCAGTGGCAGAGTCCAGCATCTTGCCAAGAGGACCAGACCATCTGTTGTTTGGAAGAGTCTTGCCATCCAGCTCCTGGATCAGATGTCTGAGTGGCAACTCGTTGGTGTGGAGGTCACAAACAATCCAGACCAGCTTCCTCCCAATCTTCCGCTCTATCCACTGTATGACCTCCCCTTGCCACCCTGTGTTCGTGTTGGTGCTGTCTCCTCCAATGGCCTGCAGGGTCTGGTCTACGTTCCTCTCTCTGAGCCAGTTCACAATGTTATCTGCCACTATCTCAGCTGGTTTCCTGATGTCATCTTTCTCTGGAGTGAAATGCCACAAATACTTCCCTCCTGGTTCACTGCAGCAGGAGTAGTGTTCCTCCTTCACTCATGCGCGAGAAACAACTTGTCAGAATCTCCAACTTTTATGAACACTTTGGTGTCATCCCTTCTCCCATCGTTGAACAATTGATTCCATTTTCTTATCCCCTTATCAAACTCCTTCTAGGTTACTGACAAGCCTGAGCTCTCCTTATTTTAGCAGACTCCATCACCAGGTGAAATATCATCAGGTGTTATCAAACCACCGTCAATCCAGGCAGCTGTTGCTATCTCTGCAGTTTCTCTGAGACCAGTGTGGTGTCGCATGCTGGCCAGAGCTATGCTCGGGATATCTTTCCTATTTCGAATCTTATGCCTAGAAGGTTTGGGATCATTATTTTCTGGGTTAGGGGCAGTCACCATTCTCCTGGTCAGCACTCGGATCAGCCATGGGGAAGTCATTAAACTCTGAATCAGCTTGACTCCAATCATCGGCCTTTTTCACCTCACCCTGGGCCTTCTCAAGTCTCTTTTCCTCGGCAACTCTTCTCCTCTTCTGTCTCTCTGTGGCAGCCTCCTGTCTCTTGGACTCCGGAATATCTTGGCTAGAAATCATGAGAGCCCCTTATATCAGAGCCAGTCTTCTCTGTGCTTTGACAAATGCCAGTTCGATCAATAAGGGAATCTTCAGTTCACGCTTGCAAATACAGGAGATGTGGGCCTGGATTTACAGTCACGATCGCATCCAAAACTCAGGACAGAGAAATACTGGGGCACTTGCAAGTAATTATGTCAAATAACTGATCCAGTTGTTTGGCAAAGTTGTCCTTAACTGCAGTTTTCTCCCAAGAGAGATATTCTTCGTCTTTTCCCAACTGGCTAGCAGTCTCAATTAATCTTTCTGACTTGTTATGACTGGAGGCTTGAATCGAGCGTTAGCCAGAGTGTACTGTGCCAAGACAGCTTTGGTCATATCATCGGCAATGTCTTTTGCTTGTGTGTTCTTTGGGTTCTTTCACTGATTTGCCTGATTAAAACACCGTATCTCAAAGCATCTCTCAATGTAGGCAACTCCGACTTCAGGAGCTCTCTCCCAGACCCAAGATAGTGACTGAGATGGCTGGATTTTTGGTTTCTCGTCCTGACACAAGCAGCCATCGCAAATATTATCAACTTATAAATGCATCAGAATCTGAAACAGAAAAAAATATTATTAGTTGGGTTGTTAAAGAATGAAGTCAGAAAGCAATGTTCACTATTTAATTGTAATGCACTAATGCAGCTGTACGTTAGATTTTCGATAAATTTCACGCTAAAATTTACCTAGCAAAAGGTTGCAAAATATTGAAACTGAAATTATTTTCTGTTTATATACACTAAAATCTACCAAAAATGTGATGGGCCATTAGTTTTAGCTGATCTTCCCTCCTATGACACACCCTACTGTCGTAGTGAGCCCATACCAACATCTCGTCCATAAAGATGATCGCTGCTAATCAAAGAAAACCAGCACTCGTTATTAATAAAAAAACGGAGAGATAACTTTTCTTCTCGTTGAGTTACGGCTTCAGGGGTCCATTTACTAAATTAGGTGTGCTCAGTTCGACCTCAGTCATCAGACACCCTGCCTCACTGGACTCGTGGAAAGAAGACAGTCTTGTGTAAAGAAATATTGCCATATTGAGACTGTTTATAATGCATTTCAAGCTCCAGAAGACCTTGTAACTGCATAATAATAGTTTTGCAGCCATTTTCCACGCTTATGTAAGTTAGCCATAATTACCTGATTGCATGTTACAGAAGTTCTCACCAGGCAAATGTGAAGCGAGTTTTACGGCTGGTTGTCTTTCCTAACACCAACCTACTTTAAAATTTTACGGTGGGAAACGTCTAGAGGCGCCATACCACAGTTGATTCGTAAGGCGACACATGATGCTGGTGCCTGGCCACAAAACTCTCCTTACAATAATGTCTCTCAGTCCTCGGTCTTACAGTCACCGAGGAGATAATGTCTTCCCTTCCAAACAAATAAGGATATACTGTATATAGTTCATGTAACGTCATTTGGAGGTTATGTTAACACTTTATAGACACGAACACTATTGATGTACAAATGAAATAGTTAAGACTCTTATCTCTCATGAGCCATCAGTGTGTGCAGGTGGTGTTTGTTCAGTAGTCTTGGGGGGGGATCATCACAACCTTTAAGCCAGCAGGGATGAAACGACTACAGTAATTATTATACTTATTTTTTTCTCTAATAAAACATGAGAACACTAATTTATATTTAAGAATAACTGTGACTTTCAAGCTTAAAGAACTAAGTGAATTACATGTGTCCAGTAACAGCACAACGATGTATAATTATTCATGAGAGTGTATGAATATATGTAAAATGGTTCTATTTATGCTGTAAGTTACGTCTTCATAACTCTCTGACTTAGCTCAACAAGACGTAAATGGACGGTGTAATATCTTTATGCAAATTACCTCTTATCATAATGGTACATTCTGCTTATTTATAATGATTACTTGAGGAGATAAAGGGTACATAAGTTTAAGTACATAAATCACTTATATATATATATATATATATATATATATATATATATATATATATATATATATATATATATATATATATGTAACCGGTCGGAATTTGCTGGACTTTAATTTCTCACTTGACTTGGGGTTTATTAAAATTTAATAGATGGTAAAGGCAGTGGAAGCGCCCCTTTGAGAAATATCCCGAACCAGCACAAGAACACTTAAATCTACTACACAAAATGAACTGTCCGTGACCCGTGGAAGGATAGCGTCTGTGACTGGGATGAATGAGACACACTGTAAAATTTAGACACTTATATTCCCTCCAACACTACAAACACAATCAAATAATGGTACACCAATATACGCACCTCTTAACTTAAACTTTAACCACTACTCTGGGGAATAAAAGTTATACATGACATAGAAATTATTAGAAACACAGGCAACAATAAATTTAAAGTATTAAGAAATGTTAATTGCACATATGAACAGGCCTTAAGGGCTTTCACAAAATAATATCAGTCACTTAGGAAATGGTACTAAAAAATAAGAAATTAAATACTCCACAATGAATAGGCCTTAAGGGTCTTCAACAAAATAATATCACTCAACAAAATTATAGCACCCCAACAGGTGTACACTTCCTAACCTAACCTAACCACTGCTCTGGGGAACAAGGTTATACCTGAGATCAGAATTATGAAGAACTAGAGGCATTAAAAGAATCAAATCACAGTATCACTCTGGTTCCACTTAATGGCACCAACATTCAAAAAAACACTACTATCAAAATTATTTAAGAAATATTAAACTACACACGTCAAGATAATATCAGTCTGAGGAATGGTGTTAACTACACCCGTGATAAGGAAGATAAAATGTTCCTCTAGGTATCTCCTAGAGTCCTAGACTCACGGTCTCAGTGTGTGACCATTAATATACTCAGATAGCCCCAGTGTACTCCCAGTGCGTCCATGGGCAGGAAGAGAGTGAGCCAATCAGACCCTGTGCAGTTGAGAGGAGCTTTAGCTTCCCGTTAGCAAGAGGGTTTCACTAAGCGGCTCTGGACATGTGGTGTTGTGAGCCGACGTCCGCTGGGCACCCAGACGGCTAGATTCCCTCAAGAGATCCTTTGGTACCCCGCTAAACAGTGACAGGCCTACTCTGATCGGTCCAATGGCGACAGTCGCCACCCTCAATCATCAACGGCAGTCTCAAACGGCAGTCAATCTCTCTCAGTCAAACTCCGGTCAACTCCGGTCAACTCCAGTCAACTCCAGTCAAGTGGGTTCTGACGGAAACCCTGAAATGAACTCACTGTTAGCTCTAGTTAACTTTACCACTGCCCTATCTAAACCTGTCTGAGATCGAATGAGACTTACTTGTTATACTGCAATAGCGCAGCACAGGTGACTAGGCCACGTGACTATTTCTGTGACATATTTTCCGCCTAACTAATAACTCCTTGGGACACCCGTAACATCATTCAGACTGATAAACGATCTATAATACTTTCAAATTCAATAATAGTCCCTTACTTCATGAATCGCATCATTATTAATTCGGTGAATTACCTTTAATATCATATAGACCTAGTTCCGCAATCTCTCGCTATGAGCAGGCAGCGCTCTCTCCCCTCAGATGACCTTGAACGCTCAGTATCGCTAATGGCGGGACATTTGAAATTACTCTGAAATTTCTGAATATTACAATCGACCCCCCTAAAAAAAGACAGCACTGTCCTCATGTGCTGAGAAAAACATACATACGACCCCCCTCAAAATTTGTTCTAAGGACTGCATCTCACCCCTTTAACGTGCTAAACGCAGCATTCCCGTCTTCTCTTCTCTCCTTTTTCTCTCCCGCTAACACTCGACCCCCCTAAAAAAAGACAGCACTGTCCTCATGTGCTGAGAGAACAACTTAGAACCCACCTTCAACTCTGTACTATTCCACTCGCAGCTAGCAACTCCATTTCTTCCTAGCCCAACTCAACCCAACCAGACATTACGCTCCCCTTTTGCCTGGCCCTTAACTAGAGAACCAATGTCAAAATTAAATACTCATTGCATCTCCAACATGCTCTCCTTTGCCTGGCCCTTGAATTAAGAGAAACCAGTGTCAAAAAAAATACACAGTCCAAAACAAACATGCTCTCCTTTTGCCTGACTCTTGAACTAAGAGGAACCAGTGTCAAAAAAATACACAGTCCAAAACAAACATGCTCTCCCTTTGCCTGGCCCTTGAGCTAAGAGGAACCAGTGTCAAAACAATACT